AGTCCTAAATCTGAAATTCTAAATTTCATGGTTTTTGTGTGTTCTTGAATCATCTGTTTTATGTAATCCATACATGAAGAAAATTAATAATTCACTTCATTTTTTTTAGAAAGATAAATTACGCTTAAGTACATAAGGGACAGTAGAAAATCCAGGCATATCTTTACATTGGACTTATTGTACAAATACAAATGAATTTCTAAGAATCTCATTATTTGACAAAAAAAATTATTTCTAAAAATTCATAAATTATTTAACCATGTGCTGATAAGTATCAATGGACATACACAAATAAGATATGTAAGCTCTTTATCTGAAAAGTCAAAACACTTATAATTAAGAAAATAGGTTTTTACCTGTGAAAACAAAACTAACAATATAACCCAGCAGACACTTTGAGCAAAAAAAACTGTATTGTAGACAAAGGTTTTAGGGGTTCTGAGTCATCCTGATAACTGTATCATAGACAAAGGTTTTATGGGTTCTGAGTCATCCTGATAATTTCTAATGATAGTTGGTCAAGACTTAGCTAACAGGGTAGCTGTATGCAGTCCTGCAAGTTGCACGCATCGTGTGTATGGTGCCCTTTGCATCACGAAGTGCTCCATCCGTCCAACAACATGTGGAATCTCCGTCCATCACGGAAGAGATTTTTGCATTCCTAGAGTCCTTTTTTCAAAAGGTATCCTATGACTCAGAATTGGGTTTGGCATCAGGAATGCTTCTCAGAATTAGTGCTATTCGCAGTTTTATCTATTGAAATATTTGTCTCGTTGCTAGGAAAATTAGTGAAGTAGACTAGGCTGTTAACTGAAAATTTCTTAATTTAATGCTTATATATTATACGTAACACGTAAACATATGTAATTACATATAAGTGTAATTCATTTTTTGTTGTTTGGTTTTTAATTCTATTTTGAGCATCCCATTTTAGGGAGAATAATGTGTTTCTAAGACAGAGATGAAGTCACGGTAGTCATTGTGTCAGCTGAGATGGGCAAAGCGACATGCTTGGGAAAAGTGGAAATTTGCTCAGGCTGTCAGCATGGCTGCCTGGTACTTATGGCAGAAGGGATGACACCTGTGGAACTAGATCTGGCAGTAACTTTCCAGCCATATCATTCTGAATTTCCTAGGTGAATTAACCGACTGTAAGTCTAATTTTTAATATACCACAGGCCATTTGCAGTTAATTATTTTGAATTATTATCAAACAAGGTAATATAATTTGCTCCCATTAATGAAGTACAAAACTGAAGCTAGCTGAAAAACTGAAAGTATTTCAAAATTACTCTTCCAACTGCAATTCTGCTGAAATAAATATATACCTTTAAGAAAACTACTTAAAAAAAACCCTTCAATTTTAAAACCGTGAGTTAAATATGTATTTACTTTATAATGGCATCCTATATGTGGCTATATCTTATTTTTTAAGGAGCATAAATTTGTATTTTGTAACCCAGCAAAATGAAATAATTATGTGCTAATATATGATAGAGTCAAGTTTTTTTTTTCTCAGAATCTTTCTTTTTAAAGATTCCTTCATTCAAGGAACTAAATTAGTCTCATACAAATATAATTGTTATGTTTCTAATAGCTGGAAAATTAAACTGATAATTTAAGAGGAATTTATACTATTTCTAGTGTTTTTTTACATGATTCATTTCGAGGCAGTTTAGTCAAATTTATCTTATTATTATCTCAA